CAAAGCAAAAAGGCAGCCGGAGCTGCCCAGACAAGCACTCAGACAAATCCAAAGATCCAGAGCATCGAGAGTTCGCAGCTGCCGGGCCAATCTCGAACCCAGCAGGACCCATGAGCGATTCCGCAGCAGGACCGAGCTTTCGGCTTCTAACCCAACCAGACTTGCGTCACCAGCTGTTCCTTCGCGGTCTGGCTTCGTGGATGCTTGTTCCACAAACATCTCTGACGTTTGGGGCCTCAAAGGGGCGGAGCGTGGAAGTTGGAAAGCGGTGGCTTCGTGGAGGCTTTGCGGGGGTCGCAGAGGCTTCGCGGAAAAAGCTCCGTCGTTTCTGGCAAAACCAGGCCTGAAACGCACAGTGCTCCCGGTCGTCTTCCTGTCGTCTTCCTGTCGTCTTCCCATGATCTTCCGGCAGTCCGGCTGTCTTCCTGTAGTCTTGTCATAGCCTTCTGGCAGCCATCGGAATTTGACTGAACATCAACCTTTGGCACGCTACTGCCATGAAAGCGCATAACACACACACCAAACACGAAGCGGCTTCGCAAAGTGGCTTCGCCTGTGTCAATGCTACCGGGCTACGCGAATTGGCTTCGCGGCACACAATGTCTTAAAAACAAGAATGTTGGGAGCCCCGTAGGGCTCACGTGACCGTAGCTCGGAAGCAGTGCCGAAACACACTGACACTTGGTATGAGACGGTACAAACGCAAACCCGCATCCCGCGCGCAAGTTGTAGGGTGTCTGCCAGGGCAATGGAGTTTCGGCTCAACGTGACACGTAAGCCCGGTAATTGTACATCCTGCTGGCGATCCAGGGATACTACACTGCGCGTCCGATAGAAGAGACAGCCTCCTTAGGAACAGGGGTGCGCACACACACACAGAGACACAGCACACAGACACGCGGAGACACAGAGAGGCATACAGAGAGACACAGAGACACAGAGGCACACAGACACACAAACATACTAACAAACAAACACACAAATTTAAACGCAACCACGCAGACACGCGCACACACACACACGCATTCTTTGCGTGGGCCAGCTTGAAGGCGGAGGCCCGCTGAAGCAAGAACCGAGAAAGAGTTACACAAAAGAAATGTTGGGCATCCTCACAAAAGGCGGTTAGTCAGGAGCGCCATGCGATCAAACATGCGGTTGGTCAGGATGCTTCAGGGTCACAAGAAACCGTTCCTCCAAGGAAGTCTGTTGTGGCGGAGCATGAGTTGGCGTGAGTGCGGAGGCCTCTGAAGCAAGAACCGAAACACAGAGACCGACACAGAATCCTGAACGCCTCTCTGCAGCCAGTTTCGCTCGAGAGGCTTCCTCATCAGGGGTGCCGTCGCCAATCTCGTGGTACTTTGAGAGCAGTGATCCACATGGTGGCGCCAGGTTCAGTACCGCCAGAGACAGTCGTTGCGGGCGCGCAACCACGCACACACGGACACACGCACAAACGCACGCACACACGTGCACACACACGCACATACAAACAGCAAAAACAATGAACAAACGCACAGACACGCAAACACACAAAGACCCGCCACAAGGACACACAAACCCTTAAAGACAGAAACACAACCTCACCAACACGGCAACACACAAACACACAAACACACACCCACCGGCCCACACCCGCAGGCGCAAGAACGCGCACACACGCACATGCACATGCACATGCACATGCACACGCACATGCGCATGCACACGAGCACGCACGCGCGCACGCGCATGCGCACGCACACGCACCACGCACAGGCACACGCACACGCGCACGCACACACACACACACACACACACACACACACACACACACACACACACACACACACACACACACACACACACACACACACAGACACACACACACACACACAGGCGCACGCGCACGCGCACGCGCACACCACACACGCACACGCACACGCACACGCACACACACACACACACCCGCAGGCGCGCGCTCCCACGCACACGTACATGCACACGCGCGTGCGCACGCGCACGCACGCCCACACGCACGCGCAAACACGAACATGCACACACGCACGCACACGCGCATTCACGGCGCTCGCGCACGCTAGCACACGCACGCACACGCACGCGCACGCGCGCGCACATAGAAACAAACAAAACAACCAATGAACAAACACACAGACACGCGCACGCACACGCACACGCGCACGCACGCGCACACGCACGCAGGCACGCACACACAACGCACGCATGACGCACGCATGACGCACGCATGACGCACGCACGACGCACGCGTGACGCACGCGTGACGCACGCATGACGCGTGACGCGTGACGCACACGTGACGCACGCACGCTTGACGCACGCTTGACGCACGCTTGACGCACGCGCTTGGCGCACGCACGCTTGACACGCGTGACGCACGCTTGACGCACGCTTGACGCTTGACGCTTGACGCACGCTTGGCGCTGACGCACGACGCACGCATGACGCACGACGCACGCTTGACGCACGCTTGGCGCACGCTTGACGCACGCTTGACGCACGCTTGACGCACGCTTGGCGCACGCTTGGCGCACGCTTGACGCACGCTTGACGCACGCTTGGCGCACGCTTGACGCACGCTTGACGCACGCTTGACGCACGCTTGACGCACGCTTGACGTACGCGTGACGCACGCTTGGCGCACGCTTGGCGCACGCTTGGCGCACGCTTGGCGCACGCATGACGCACGCTTGACGCACGCTTGACGCACGCTTGACGCACGCTTGACGCACGCTTGGCGCACGCTTGACGCACGCTTGACGCACGCTTGACGCACGCTTGACGGACGCTTGACGCACGCTTGGCGCACGCTTGACGCACGCTTGGCGCACGCTTGGCGCACGCTTGACGCACGCTTGACGCACGCTTGACGCACGCTTGGCGCACGCTTGGCGCACGCTTGACGCACGCTTGACGCACGCTTGGCGCACGCTTGGCGCACGCTTGACGCACGCTTGGCGCACGCTTGACGCACGCTTGATGCACGCTTGACGCACGCTTGGCGCACGCTTGACGCACTCTTGACGCACGCTTGGCGCACGCTTGGCGCACGCCTGGCGCACGCTTGGCGCACGCTTGACGCACGCTTGACGCACACCTGGCGCACGCTTGGCGCACGCTTGACGCACGCTTGGCGCACGCTTGACGCACGCTTGACGCACGCCTGGCGCACGCCTGACGCACGTTTGAACATGCACTTTGAAAGGCTTAAAAAGTGTTACTGTTTCTCTGAACCAAGCGCCGCGCTTGCCCTCCAAGGTGTCTGACCCTGCTGCTTCTGAGCGGCGCAAGTAGACCTTGGTCAAAGGCAAGCATGAAAGCCCGCGGCCCAGCCGGCTTGCACCAGGTCAAAATGGAGTTGCGCTTGGCGCAACATCACGCTATTTGTGAATCTGTGCCCGTCAGTTCTGGGCAAAGTGGAGAGGAATCAACTTGTGTCTTAAATCCAACCGACTCCACCGATTCACCGGTCGCCTCGCACAGGCGCTTGCGCTCGTGGTCCCAGGCATCAAAGGCATCAAGCCACACCTGTGGCTGCATTGAGGCACAATATTGAGGCACAGGAATGTCAAATTTGCCAGGTTCCGTGATGGGTGAGCGCAGTCGCATTCCCGTAGGCCTGTTTGGGCCCCTCGTTTTCTGGAACCGCGCGGAACTGCCTCGCGCTTTCGCTGCTTCAGAAGAACAGGCTCCATGGTTTCAACCGGAACCCCCGCCATGCGAAGCAGCAATGATATGAGCCGTGGTCCAAAATATGCCTCTCCCAAACATGAGCCCCTGACCGTTCTTGAACGTTCCACGCTTCTTCCAAAGCAACCATATATTACGGATGTGTTTTTTCCGAGCCTCGCACGCAGTACTGGCTGGCCACATGGACTGACCTAGAAGTTTGGAAGAAGCCCAACATCCAAATGGAACAGAAGCCAAAAAAGCAGGTGGCTGGTTTCAGTTGTGTTCCAGAACAAATCAACGCCCAACCTATCTGACCTTTCCTCTCCGGCGCCTGCCAGGCTTTGCGGCCGCGAGCCCACGGGGCATCATAATCCACCGGGAACTCCTCGCGCCGCCCGTGATTTGGCCCCTTGCTGGCTTCCAGGCAGGCCTAGGAAATTTGGGCGACGCCTCCCATGTCCACACCGAAGTAACAAGTGACTGACCATGGCTGATTTGTTGAACTTCATTTGAGCGCCGTCGTGTTGGAGGAGTTTGGAAGAGTCATAAACAACAAGCCTGGAGCTTTCAGAAACTTTTTTCCAAGTGGAACATTTGCATCGATACAAGGAAGTCTCCACGGCAACTCGCAGATCCCTCTGTCCTCGCAGGTCCGGGCACATCAAATGAGTCACAAGTGGCAACCAACGTGGTGGCCCAAGATTGGACGTACATGCGCATGAGCCAGTGACACAATTACCTGTTTGGGGCGTATTCATTCCGATGCTCACGAGCCGCATCGGTTTTACAGCGTTTTCTCAAGTTTGGAGGCTATCGTTTTCTTGGCGGCCCGTATTGTTTTTTCAAGGAACAAGAAGACAACACCTTCCTACATAAAGTAAATGACAGCAAATTTGAAGCTAACTCACACGCAATCCGGGATTGTCCTGACATTTGGCTCCTGGAGAGCTTGAACATTTACATCAGACTTTCAGCTTCTGTTCGCCGCCCGCCTGCTGGACTTTTGATCTTTGGGCATGGTCCAAGGGCCGACCATTAACGGCAGATCTGCAAGCGAAAACGCACGCTAGTGAAAAATGGAGACCGACATTGGGTCTCACAGGTTTAACCAAGGGCCGCCCGTGTAGCGCAAGCGTAACTGAAGGCCGCGCTAAAAGTCTGCTCAGGGCCCCGTTCGTTCTTGGGAACTGCAACGCGCTCATCTAACCTTTCATGTTTAGGTGGCTAGAAAACGGGTTGAGGGTTGGAAAACCAGGATCGGGGCCTCCTGGCGCTATCTACTCAGCTTCCCCCAAATTTGGGCATCTTTGCAATCACAGCTCTCTACATGACCGGGCTGCGCTCTCTTCACTCCGCCCAACCTAAGCCAACGAAACGCAGCAAGCTTTGGGGGGATTCGCGAAACACATGATTCAAAGACTAGCATGGTTCAGGTGGCGCGCGAGTCCCTCGGAACTGCCCGGTGGACAAGCGCAAGCAAAACTGCCAGACCGGCTATGTCAAGCACGCGTGGCCAAGAGAATGATGAGCAACGTCAAGAAAAGGATAAGTTGGCTCTGACGTGCTGGCCAATCACCAAGGGCAACGCCATGCCAACCACTGAGTGAGTGAACCTGGGCCGCAAGCATCCATCCAGTGAATTCCTGAGAATACAAGGGTGAGCACGTGCCACTCAAAGTTTGCTTGGTGTCTTCCCAATCTTCCCAAAAGCTGAAATGACAGTTCCTCCCAAACGCTTTTTTCGTTGCAGCCCCCACAAAAACTAATCCCTTCCCCCTAATAAGAAACACAGGCCCCCTAATAATAAACACTCTCTGGGGGACAAGGGTTCTGTGGGGCCGACCGGATTTCCTCTTTGATCCCCGTCCAAACAAGCTCCCTCCTTTTGCCGGGCACGAAACCCTCAAAACCGCAACTTTGCGAGTAACGAATTTAAATACAGCCGTTCCAGGTTGTTTTTGTTTTGCACATCAAAGTAAAGGGCGCAGTTTAAACTTAGAATTACAACTCAAGAAAAACATGTAAATTAGTAAGAAGTAAGTATGCGTTTAAAATTTTGTGTTGGGTTAGCGCAAGGAGCCCCCTGATAAGGCTGGGGCTGGCCTGGGCGGAGGCATTGGACAGCTTAGTATTGGTATTGATTTGGGATATTCTAAAAAGTAGTGTCGGGGCCCGGCTGTTTCAGCCAGTCTAGAAAAAGTAGTTATTAATAGAGTCCATTTATTTAAATGAGGAAGGGATTAAACTAGACGCAAAAACAACATACCAATAACTGTGAAGAGGCGGGTCACACTGAGCTTGGCGTTCGCTGCGGAACACTTGGCACGCAAGACACATTGCGGTTTTGGCCCCGGAATCATCGCCACCAAAACTGCGGCTGCGAGCCGCCTGATGCCGCCGATGATGCGTAGGCAGGCGATCCAGAGCCTGAGAACCGGCGCTCAGGCACCGAATGCAGAAAACATCGGGGGCTCCGAAACTCCTAATTCCACTTGTCTTGTCCCCCGAAAAAGGGAAAGGAACTCCAGGGCTCGTTTCCCTCTCCCAATTCCTTTTTTTCAGGGAATGCAAAATAAGGAGCCCAAGAAAGCGGCCCTGTCCCAGAAGAGGATTTCCTACGCATAAGCTGCTTTTTGGGGGTGTTAGCATTAGAAGAAACGTCCCAGCAAAACAAAAGTGTCGTCAGCTACCGATTGTTCCAATCGCGCGATAGAACAGCTGCCACTTGGATAAGGGGCAAATGGCTCTTCAAACTGACTGCAACTACCCTGCTCCAGCGTGGCCCACATCCGGCTTGAACTCCTAGCAAGGAAAAGGAAGGCAGCCCAGAAGAGCAATTATCACAAACATCCAGCAATGCCGAACTTCTGCAATGCCGCGCTTGCTTCCCATATCAATACGCAAACAGGTACTGCGTCTTCCCACCAACTTGCATGGAACATACCAAGGAGGCGATTGGCAAAGTTTTGTGGGTGTTGCCCCAATCTGGGTCTCAATCAGCAACCGGAATGAGAAGAAGCGGGAACCTCAGAAGCGCGCGGCATGGCTCCGAAGATGAAGGACTGCGCCAGGCCAAACACTGAAACCTCGATCTCGATGATCAGCCACCTGCCACTTTCAGAAATGCCACAAGTGAGGTTGGAAGGGTTTAAACCTCAAAATGTGATTGTCCGGAAAACAGGCGCCGAAGAGGAGAAGTATTGCTACAAGGTCTAGACCAAAATTTGCCTTTGTGAGCTCTCTGAGTGGAGCGTTTGCATTTTTCATCCCGCCCTCCAGTTGCAGCATGTGTCCCGCATTATCCTGCTTTCAGAAATGTCACGTGGGACCCGACCGGACACAGTGAGGGTGGACAGAATATGTGTCTCCTTTGGGTTGGTCCTCTGCTTTCCCCAACATACTTTGTGCTCTGTGTGTCTCATCGTCCAAGTTGTGCGTTTTGCGCTTGCAAGGTTAAAGCCAATCCGGCTTCTGTGCTGGCCAGATGTGCGCACTTAGCTTTGTTTACAGCTGAAAGCTATGGGGACTTTGCCCAGGTAAGCTCCGGGGTGGTCCGGGCAACTTTAAAAAAGGGTTTTCACGGACGCATGTTGTTGGGGATATCACCTAAGCTTATGTTGGGGGGGGGGCTTGCTTCACCCGATTCTGCAAAAAATGCCCGAACGTTCAGTCTTGTTGAATCTGTTAAAAAGGGGCTGAACTTGGACCCTAAGGCGCGGAATGAATCGTGCGGGGTCCGCATCAGCGGGAGGCTCCTCGTTTTCCAATGGCCCTGGACGTTGCCCTCCACGCCGTCCTGGTGCGGACACCGAA